AAGAAACATAAATGCATGTCAAAAGCATCCAACTAATAGGATCATAATGTAAAGGCAGTCTTTGGAAAGCTTGTTTTTCAGGGCTTATCAACAGGATTAAGGGGTTTCTGATTCTTAGCTGTGAGCTTTGCAGATATTAGAGACTGGAAGGCTAAATCTATATCATATGAAAAAGTTGGTCAATTTTGACTTTTTCCTGTAGCAAGATTACTTTTTACTACAAAGCAGATCTTCCAAACACTGAATTTGGGCATGAAGATAATGTATTGTTCATATGGTTTGTACTTATGTTGAGTAACTTAGTTGTTTTGAGTCTCTGGTTATAAACAGTGCTTAGAAGCTGCAATATCTCCTGCAGCATGCAATACAAAAGTCATGGTAACCGAACCTATTTTGCACTACTTTACTAGGAGCTATATTAAGCAGTACATGGGAATCCTGCTTATTACTTAAAAATCCTAGTTAGGGCTAGCCAAAGGCATCATAACAATACTGAAAACATTAATTAAACCATTTATAGCTTCCTATGCTATACATAGAGGAGACTACATAAAGTGATGGAAAGGCTATTGTGTCTAGGGACATGAAGAAATGGCAGAACAATAATACTAGGATGGCTTCATGGAATCAGAGCCACTCATGATCATGCTATTCAGTGCCTTCTTATCCCACCCCAAGATACCAGCTATTTATCTAATACACAGATGCTGCTGGTCTTGCCAATCATGCTGTCTTTGCTTTAGTTTTTAGTGAGGCCCTGCATATGATGCATCTGTCTGGTACTGTGAGTGACAGTGGCTGTGTTTGACCCAATGGTGCACAGAAATCAGTGCATTTGTATTCTATTCACACAGCATCATACGTGCCACCTTGTGGCAAAATAATGTCATGCTTTCTTCTGAGAATACAAAATAGAAAAGTGGTATAAATGATCAAAAAGAACAAAAGACAGGAAACACTACACTCTACCGGGAATCCAGACTCACTGGGGAGACACTGTATTTGTCTTTAATGGAGCTATTCAGAACTTTTCCTTTGTTTTAAGCCAAATTCTCTTTGGATGAGTGCAGGGTTCACAATAATTTCACTGGGAAATGTGTGTGTGTGTGTGTGTGTGTGTGTGTGAAGAGGATATGGCCATTATTGCTTTTGATTTTCCAGGCTCTCACTTTATTGTGCATTTCAAAAAACAGTAGAGTAAAATTAGGTATGCTGTACCTAGTTGTTCACAAGAGAGCAGTAACTGCATGCAAAAACCACCACCTGAACCAACAGGTCATAGAGCCAAATCCTGAAGTCCTTACCAAGGCAAAGATGCCATTTAAACCAGTGGGACTCTACCTGAGTAAGGACTAAACAAAGGACTTCAGCATATGGCCCAGAAAAAGTTAACTAATCAGACAATGAACTCCGTTGTTTATTTTGAGGGCATCATTGAGCTCTGTTTGGGAGTCCAATGATCCCAGCTTATTAGAAGCAAACTGATAAATGAATAACACCAAAAAGTTTCTGGTTACCATGCATCAAATTAATAAAATGGTGTGATCTGAAAAGGAGCATATTTTGTCTTCATTGTCTGTCTGTAGTATTCTGTGGTATTTGACTGCAGCATCTTAGCATCCTGATGTTACTTTACTTTGCATTATCTTGATGTTACTGCAGTATCCTACTATGCATGCATCCTGTGGTATCTTATTGCTGCAGTGCTCTGCTACTAATGTACCACAGTTTCCTGGCACACCCTATAACTGCATTATCCTCAGAATAGTTTACTGCAGCATCTCCTGGTGACTTATTGCTGCATTATCTCAATACTACTTTACTGCAGTGCCCTATGTTACCTTATTGCTACATTTATCCTGATATTTTTATGCCGGTGTGCTGTAATATCTTATGACTGCACTACTCCAATACTACTTTACTACAGATCTTCTTCGGGCTAGAAGATCTATTAGGTCCCTTCCGACCCTAAAACTATGAAACTACAGTAGTCCATGGTACCTGAGCACTGAGTTATACTAAAAGTACTTCACTGCATTAGCCTTGGGTACCTTATTTCTGCCTTAGTCTAACACTGGCTGCATTATCTTATGGAATTTATCACTCTTACTTGCAACATCAACTGGACACCTTAGCTTCTGTGTAGCCAAGCATTACTTTCTTTGCAGCTGTATTTCACAGCAATAGCCCTGTAGTGATGGGAAGCTTTATAAATGGCTTCCATGCTATTGAGATTTTAAAAAGCCTTCCACCCTGCTAAATGGAATAAGGCCTTTCCCTGAAACAACTCCTTTAAGAGCATGCATGGGAGTGGAAAGCTGGTTTCTAACTCATCTTCAGAACGGTGAGGTAGTTGGAAGACACCAGACACATAGCAAAATAGTAGGATTGCTGTCTGTGATACCCAGCAGGGTCTTATTGAGCAGAAACAAATAGCAGCACATAGTATGAATAATGCCATTAAAAAAAAAAATCAAGAACACATTTTATATAGAAGTAGTTGCATGTAAATTCCATTGTGCTTCATGAGAGAGAGACAGACACACAAGGAGCAGTTGGTTCATACGTGTCCCCATGAAGAGGACACGTCTGCTGTTATGTTGCTTGTTTTTACAGAAATTTAGTCAGAAAACTAAGTGTAAAGCTCTGTGATCTCCAGAGAATACGAAGCTCTCTCCGCTCATCTAAATATTACTGAGCAGATTAAGTTGCATGAGTGTTCATTTAACTAGCAAGATGTTCAACATCTAGCCCCCCTAGTGTATACATGCAGGCACTCTCCCTGTGTCTGTAAAACTTCCTTCCATACTTAAAATACTATTTACACTGTCCATATATAGAGTATTTCCTAAGGGTGAAATTCAGTCCTGTCTACATGAATGCCTTGCAGAAAAGGAGTGGGAAGGTAGGTGGGGGCAGGAGGAAGAAGCATCAGGGATCCTCTTTTACAAGACACTTGCCTGTGTCCTAAACATAATATTGACTCAAATGCCCCTGACTGAGGACAAGGACAGACTTCCCTCCTCCCTCCATATCTGCCAACATCTGGGCTCACCAGGAAGTGTAAGGAGAGCACTCCCCACCCTTGTCTGTAGGCATTGCATGTGTCCAGTGGGGCAGAGTACCTTTGCTCAGCTGCTCCAGCTTCACACACTTTTAGGACCCATCATTCTGGGGCAGAAAGGCCCACCTTAGTGCCAGGAATCCAGTGAGAATAAGGGGTCATAAAAACAGACATGGCCCTCCTCTCCTGCTCTTTGTTGAAAACACAGATGTGCTCAATGACTTTTTTTCCATAGACATCCTCCTTGTGAACACTCTGTGGGGACTGACTGGTAATGTCACACTAGTGCAGGGGGCAGGACTGAGATGCCTCTGTCCACAGACCATGCAGTAACTGTCATACAAAGGTATTATTAGTTTGGGGCATAAGCAAGAGTGTTTTTTATCAAACTCCAGTGGTGTGTGCCAGTGATGTTGGGTTCTTCACAGAAAAATTATCACCCATACTCTGGAAACAACTGGCCATTCATTTTCAAGTGGAATGGCTAGGAATACCTTGGAAGGCATACACGAGGGCATATGGCTAGACAGTTGAGTTGTTTGTGCCCATGCTGAGTAGGTGAAAAGAGGACAGAAACTAGACACGGGGAAGAATTATGTAAGATTTTTTGGGGTGGCCAAACATCATCCAAAGGGCGTGAGGCCACCAGCACATACATGCAGATATGTAGCATTTCTGTAAAGTTGGAAGAGTTCAGTTTCAGGATCTAGGTTAGCATACTATTTAACATCAAATATCACTTTTCCAAATTCTACCATGCACTCTCACAGGCAAAGCACCTCATCCAGAACTTGCTTAAGCAAAACTTCCACTGATGTATCCTGCAAGCTAGCAGGAGCTACCTGGAAGACATAAGAAGTGCTTGTGGGACATTTCATTTCATTAAGGAAGGAACGAATGGGAAATCTTTTTTTTGATAGAAATGATGGTATCTTAATTTTTACACTGGATACTGGGGTGACATGCTTCAGAAGTACATAATGGTAGCTGGTTAGCCAGCTAGATATACATAGATAGACAGTTTTGCTTAATTAAGAATGCAGGATTGGACCCATGACAGACTTTTTTTTTACCAGGGGCGCAAAAAGAGTACTTGCCTTGGTAGGAATGAAAGTCAGCAGATGTGCTCTTCTGTATGTTCCAGTTCTAAACCACTTGCTGGTTCATGAACTTCAAAGTATCTCATTGTTTATAAGGCAGTGTTTTATGAAGCTAAGTAGTTCAGTCACATTTGGAAATGGTTGGTTTTGGGGAGGTTTTATATCTTGACTATATGCTGCAAGTGAATACAGGTTGCTTTATACTTCTGCAGCTATTAGACTTGTTTTTTATTATTAGACAAATACATATCTTTACTTCAGTTAGTTCTTTCAAATCCTTCCCCACTGCCTCCTCCTCCCTCCTTTGCCTCCCTGACATATCCCTCAGATCTTACTGAGAACAGTTTTCGGAAGCCTATTGTATCACTTTTCAAACTGTACGCTTAGGCTTGATATTACACAATGCTTCATCCAATTCCCATTTTCCTTACACTGTTATTTCATTCTTAGAAATGGCACTTCCCACTGGAGTGACATATCTGAGAATGCAAGATAGGACCTAGCTGTGTCCACTATTGTTTAGAAAGAGTCATCTGGCACCCAAACCCCTGGCTGATTCAGAACAGTCTTCTGACCCACCTCCAACCCTATGAGATTCCCCTCTCTAAAGGCTGAATATTGCTCTCAGTTACACCCATGTGAATTTTGGGTAATTGTAGTTAAGTCAACACCGTTTAACCTGAAGAAACAAGGGCAGACTTCACCTTTTGTGTTTGGAGGGATTAGGTGTTTTCCCTAAGAGGTTCAATTCAATCCATTTAGAATAAAAGTTGAAAAATAATCATTGCATAAGCATGGAAAAATCTTTAAATAAATAGGAAACCAAATACAGTATAATACCTTTAAATACTTTATGCATGTGTGTGTATGTGTGGCGATGTGTGTGTGCACATGTGTATTATACATCTCAAACATTGCCTGGTGACCACTGGGTAGAGTCATATTTGCACTGATGTGCATGCAGAGTAACTCCAGTAAGTCAGAGGATTTACATTGTGATCAGTTTGACTCTGTGGGCTGGATCATCAGCTGGTATGAATTAGTTAAGGTCCACTGACTTCAGCTGAGGATCTGGCCATGCACTTTTGCCACCTGCCCTTGAGAGGACAGCAAGCCAAAAGAAGTGGTTTTCCCACCATTATTTTAAAAGAGGAAAGGAAATAAAAAAAAATATTGAGTCAAAGAAATTGCTTCCGTCTGCAGCAGAAATGAATTAGACATTTTGTTTTGAGCAGGCGAAGCAGCTTCTGGTAGATATTTTATTGGATCCAGATGGCCACAAGAAAGGGAACAAGTGGGTAGTGGGGACAATAGTGGCTTCAGTTACAGCCGTGTTTTTACCAGGGAGAGAAGAGATGAAGGGATAATACTGATGTTGCTCAGCTCTTCTTTCTCTAGGTTGCAGTTGGGACTGGTTCCTTAAATAATAAGATACTAAGCCCTCTGCCTTGTTGACCTTCTGTATACAGTGCAGCGTGCTCCTCCAAAACCAAGTAGGAAGCAAAGTACCTTTAGAGAACTCAGTGCTGTTATAAAGCTGTACAAGTAAGAAAGTGTTGATGTAAACTATGAAAAGAGGAACCTCCAGTGAGCCGATCTTTCCATCTTGCTCTCCTTTTTCTCCCCTCTGCTCTCATTCTTTTTCTCTCACTGTGACCCATTCTCCCCAAAATGAAACATCCTCTGCGGAGGTTGAGCGCAGCTGTTTGTCAGGGTTGTCAGCAATGGCTCGCTCAGCTGAAGCTGTCAGGAGGACTGCATCAGGCCTGTGAGGCGCTTGCCCGCCAGAGACTTTCCCTAGAGGAACAAACAAACAAGCAGAAAAAGAGAGAGCCAAACATGTGAGTTAAGCTGCTGCACAGGAAAAATAGGCCAGACTGCTCAGTCAGTTGATCTGGCGAGCTGGTTCTGTGACTGATAATGGAGAGCAGGAAACTGAAATGGCTGAAGGTTGCAAAGATATCTGAATGCAGGGGCAGGTGCCATACCCAAGGGCCGTGGTGGGAGTATGTGGTTTCCTGCCAATGCCAGTGCTTACACAAAGGCAGTAAATCTGACGTTACAGTGCTCTTGGTATTTAACCACTCCGTCTTAAGTCACATCGTGTGTCCATTCCTTGTTTACCTCTGTGAAAAGGCAAGTAACACTGGTGTCAGTGTGCTGTGTGTCCAGACCCTTAGAGGTGTTTTAATCACTCAAGGTGAGATAATCTTTCACACTGTCTCATGACAACTCCTCCTTCCTGGTTCCCCTGCTTTCCCCTTTCATGTCCTTCATTCCTTTCAAAGCACTGAAATGAATCTTGCATTTCAGGGCTATGATCCTTGACCATGTAAAGCACGTAGGAATTTTACCATGGACTGCAGTGAGCGTGGGATCAAGGGTAGCTGCTGGAGGATGCCCCTTCCATATCTGAATTGCTTCACCGGCTTATCCCATATGATCCCTGCTCTCCTTCACTTCAGTAAACTTCTATATCAATTACGCCTCGTTTTTGTGCCTGTTAGGAGATGTATTTTTTAAAGGGATGCTGTTAACTTTTCATTTAGCCAGATTTAAAAATAGAAGTTACAAGTAGGGTCATGTACTATGTAAGTTGCCAGATCTCCTTGGCCTTTCTTTTTTTTTTTGGTGGAGGAAGGGGATTGACAATGATACTTTCCTTTTATCATTATTGAAATAAATATGGAAGGTGCACTCCTGCAGGAGACTCCTGCTGTATCTGGCAGGTTTTTTTTTTTTATGTTACTGTAATTTGTTGCTTTCTGAAAAAATGATCCACAGAAACAGGAAGAGACAGTAAATTTGACTAGACACAATTTGCAGTCAAATTAGGTAAAATGAAGCAAGTCAGATTAATTAAACTCTGTTTACAAAGTAAACACCCTGAGGAATAGAGAAGAATGTTTCATTGTCTGATGTTGCCTAACCATAGTTTGGAATAGTAGGTAAACGATAGGTAAAATGATTAAGGACAGGCATTTGACTTTTTATGTCAATGTGCATCTTTAACTATACCAATAAGTAACTTGTATATGCAAACGCAGTCCAATTTGCCATCCTTCCAAAGGTCAACAGATTGTTGTAAAAAAACACCCCCAACACACTGCTACTGTTCAAAATGATTGGCATGTGGTTGGTTTTCAAAGCTTCATAATTTTTCCTAATTTTGAAGTAAACTGGTAAATGCACTTCATTTTGCAAAGGACTGATTCTCGCTGAGTAATTAGTCACTGACCAGTAGCTAGCCCAGAAGTGCTGCTGTTTAAAATTATATATATATATACTATATATAATATATACTATATATGTATTATATATATAATGTATTATATATATATTAGATTTTTCTCCTGCTATAAAATCAGCCAAATCATTCTCAATATATTTTAAAATCACCTTTGGGCAAAGCTCAAAGCCAGAACACGTTACTCAAACAAGAGAATGGTTTTCAGAACATGAGGGATGGTAATGTTAATGCTTTCACAACCCATACTCTAGCCGTTATCATTATTCCAGCTGTTCCATAACAACAGTAAAGAAACTAGACAGCAGCTGGATTCTACATTTTGCTTAACATGTTGGTCTTACCATTGGTTTGGGCAGCTCCTTCGAAGAAACCCTACAAAGATTTGGTTTGGTAAAATAACTACTAGATTAAACTTATAGTTTAGTTCAAGTCTGCAGCTTCCCTGGTGCAAGGAAAGTGATGGCAGTTGTTGGGGGATAATTCTAGGGGGAATAAAACTGACTTGCAGAAAGCACAAGCGTGTTCCAGCTCCTGAACTGAGACATGGCAACACAGGCATCCTCTTCCCAACACCCCATCTTGTTGCCATATTCAAGGGCCCATTCTGAGGCGGGGGATGAATTTGAGGGGGATGGAGGGGTCCATACTAACACTGATTTTAATGTATCCTTGTTTAAATCAGAAGGAGGAGGAGACTGCTGTTGCCAATGCCAGGCAGATCAAAGAGAAACTGACAGCAAAGTTAGTGGTGCCTATCTTCAAGGAGAGGAAAAGATGGATGTGAACATAGAGACTGTGTACGACCCACTGGAGTAGACTCAGAGACTGTGTAGGACTGGGTATGACTCACTTGAGTAGACAAGCATGGTGCACCATTAACCGCCTTACAGGCGAAGGCATAAAAAAAAGACATTGCCCGTGTCAGCAAACTCCATCGCAAAAACGCTGTGCAACAACAGCCAGTACTCAAGCAAGCAACACAGAGAAATGATTAAAAATCTGACTCATGAACAACTTAGATCACCCACCACCAATCTTAATTTAACTGCCCCCATCTCTGACAATGAGTTTGACACAGCTATTAAAGTGATCAAGACTGGCAAGGCTGCTGGTTCAGATAAAATACTTCCAGGCTATGTTATCAAGCTTGGAACCACAGTGAAAAGATGGCTCCAGAAATTCATGTATAAATGCCTAGAAAGTAACAGACTTCCAAAAATGTAGAGAAAAGCTGATATCAGTGCTATCCTGAAATTCAATAAACCACCAGAGGATCCAAAGAGCTATTGACCTATCTCACTATTCTAGGTTGCATGCAAACTCATGTAATGCAGAGCATCATCCTGAATAGAACAGAGAACATCATCGATCCCTAGCTCCCAAAAGAAAAAGCTGGCTTTCAGAAAAAGCAGTGTACCACTGACCAAGTTACATTACTTATATCCAACATAGAAAACAGATTTGAAATGAGGCAGAAAACAGGCATGGTCTTTATTGATTATACAGTCACCTATGACTGCTGTGGCATCAAGGCCTCAAATATAAATTGCACTCCATGATGCCTGACTGCAAGCTATGCACTATCATCATGAACATGATCGCCAGAAGATCATTCAAACTCACTTCCAGACAAGGAACCCTGAAGAATGGAGTCCTCCAGGGGTCAGTGTTAGCATCAATACTTTTCAATGTATAGATCTCAGACTTCCTGCATACAACACCTAAACAATACATTAATGTTGACAATGTCGCCATAGTAGCCCAAGAAATACACATGACAGAACTGAAAAAGGCACTGAGTACTGTCATGGATCTCATCACTGACTCCACAAGTGGCACTTAAAGTTGAACATCAATAAATCAGTATCATTATTCTTCCACCTGGATAATTGTCAAACCCAGAGCATGCTGAGTATCAGCATAGGCAACCACATCCTTCCCTATGAGCATACCCCAACCTACCTAGCAGTCACATTAGACTGTTCTCTCACCCAACACCACACTTAGAAGGTCTGTAGTAAAGTCTCTACATGGGTAATTCCCTTAAGATGTTTAGCCAGCATGATACGGAGTGCCAACTTCAAAGTGCTCAGAACCACCGCACTTAAAATATTATATGCTACAACAGAATATTGTGCTCCTGCATGGTCCAGAAGTTGTCATACTAAAATGCTTGACACTGTACTTAACAGTGTGCTGAGACTCATAACTGGCGCACAACTTACACACAAACATATGTACTTCCTGTATTCTTGGGTATTAGACCAAGTGATATAGAAGACAGACCCTAACATCATTACTGACAATAGAGGCAAGAGATGATGAAAATCACCTGCTCTATCAACTGCAAACTAAAGACTCAAACAGATGGAGGCTTAAGCAACTTAAAAGTTGTAAACCATTTCTACGCGAAGCCCAGAAGCTCCTGGAAGAGATTAGGGATACTGAAGCAAACCTACAGGCAGCAAAAGAGTGGGCCCACCACTGGGAAAGGTCAGACCTATTTCTACAGTGTTTTTTACCAACACCAAACAAGTCCCCCACTGGGGTATGACTTTGACAGAGAAGTGTGGGCCAAGATGAACAGATTGAGATCTAGATATGGATACTTCAAAACAACCCTTCACAAGATGAACACCTTGGATAGTCCCCTGTGTGAGTGCAGAATCCAATAAACAGCACAGCATTTAATCGAAAGCTGCAATCTCTACAAATGCCCAGAACGGGTAGATGGAATCTGTATATTGAGTGATAATACCAGACAGTGGCTCATAGATTTGGAAGTTGATAACTGACACAAAAGAAGACGACCAGATGCTGGTAAATCACTAGCAGAGGTTAGCCTTTGATGACCTTTGATGTAGTCACAGCCTGGGCTTGTTGCTAAGAGCTGGTTCCTTCCATTGGCAGTGTTTTTCAGTAGTAGCTCTAACCTTTTATGGGCAAAAAAATCGTTGTAACTCTTCCTGCGAAGTGTTCTCAGTTACAGCGGGGAGCTGCACTTCTGTCTGTACCCTTAGATTCTCTTTCCATCACCAAAAATACTTGTTATTCATCTGTTTGGGTACCTCAGAGTACCTTTCCAACATTCATTCTTAACATGACAATTGACTGGAATTATCCTTTGAATTGTCATATCTGTAAAATGGGTGTAGTTTTTATTGTTTAAAATGGCTTGCACCTGTTAATCTGATAGCTCAATAGCCTAATGGCTCAGATCCTTAGAGCTTATCGACAGACTTATCTTCCTCACACCCCTGTGGCAAGTTACAGTTTGATTCAGTGACTTGTCCAAATTCACACGCGGGGGTAAGGGATGGATCTACACGTGTGCTTTACTGCCAAGTTTACTAATTACCTCCCTAGTAAAGCATCACTGTCTACAAGTGTGGCGCTATTAGACTGGCGTAAACTAATTAACTCTGTAGGATAGTTGGGCATCCCACTACAGAAAGGATGTGGACAAATTGGAGAGAGTCCAGTGGAGGGTAACAAAAGGCCTTTGATCTGGTATCCCACGATGTTCTCATGGGAATATTGGAGGATT